GAGCGCGGCGAGGAGCGGCTGCGCTCGTGCCACCTCTGCAACGCGTCCGACCCCAAGAAGGCGCACCCACCCGCCTTCCTCACCGACCTCAACAACCCGCACAACCTGACGTGCTGGCAGTCCGAGAACTACCTGCAGTTCCCGCACAACGTCACGCTCACACTGTCCCTCGGCAAGAAGTTCGAAGTGACCTACGTGAGCCTGCAGTTCTGCTCGCCGCGGCCCGAGTCCATGGCCATCTACAAGTCCATGGACTACGGGCGCACGTGGGTGCCCTTCCAGTTCTACTCCACGCAGTGCCGCAAGATGTACAACCGGCCGCACCGCGCGCCCATCACCAAGCAGAATGAGCAGGAGGCCGTGTGCACCGACTCGCACACCGACATGCGCCCGCTCTCGGGCGGCCTCATCGCCTTCAGCACGCTGGACGGGCGGCCCTCGGCGCACGACTTCGACAACTCGCCCGTGCTGCAGGACTGGGTCACGGCCACCGACATTCGCGTGGCCTTCAGCCGCCTGCACACGTTCGGCGATGAGAACGAGGACGACTCGGAGCTGGCGCGCGACTCGTACTTCTACGCGGTGTCCGACTTGCAGGTGGGCGGCCGGTGCAAGTGCAACGGCCACGCGGCCCGCTGCGTGCGCGACCGCGACGATAGCCTGGTGTGCGACTGCAGGCACAACACGGCCGGCCCGGAATGCGACCGCTGTAAGCCCTTCCACTACGACCGGCCCTGGCAGCGCGCCACGGCCCGCGAAGCCAACGAGTGCGTGGGTGAGTGGGGTGCGGCGGCGGAGCCGGCGGCGGGTGGGGGCGCGGGCGGGAGGTGCTGGGCCTCGCAGCGGCGGGTTCTTAGGAGCGCGGGTCGTGGGAACTGGGGGGAGGCGCATTCGCGGATGCCCGGGACCCGGGAGGGCTGAAAGCAGGTTCACTCTCTCGCGTGGCCCTCGTGGTGGACGCCCGAATTTGGGCCCAGTGCTCTCTGCGAAGCCAAGAAGCAGCAGGAGAAATGTTCCCGGGAGGGGGTTTGGCAGAACATTTGCAGACAGGTCTCCGCTGACCCTGGATCCAAACGCAAACATTCATTGCCTTCCCCCTCGTTGGGTTGGACGCTGTGATTCACCTCCACCCACCCCCCTTTCCCAAGGCTGCAGCTGGGCTCGCGGTTGGGGACCCCGTCTCTGTTCCCGGGAAGTTCCAACTCCACATCTACAAATCCCTTGGGAGATGGCAAAGAACTATTTGCGGTTTGGGGTCAGTTCGATGCCCGACGAGTATCATTCCTGCCCTCCATTTGTCTTCATGATTTGAAACTATTTTGTTGTCTCTCTTTTGAACAGCGTGTTTGTGTTAGCAAAAGAAGAGTGATGTGATTTCAATTAATTACTATCTACCGATTACCAAGGAGCGTTCAGTAATTATTTTGAATGAATTCAATTTTAGTCTAAAAAAGTATACCAGGTTTTTTTTTTTGTTAGCTTCAGGCTTTAGTGAAATTAAACAGTTTTGAATTAACTAAGGGTCCAGCTTCTCACTTTTTAAATAGGGTTTCATTTCCTGAAAGAGAAATCTGACAAAACCGGGTAAATACGGCTGGGTCAGAAATGAGGCTTAAGAAGGATACGTTCTGCTTCTGAATTGGACAACTTCGCTGCTGCAGAAGCTCTCAGGAATCAGTTTCTCCCCAGAAAAAAAAAAAAAAAAAAAAAGGAAGAAAGAAAAAAAGGAAAGAAAAAGGGTGAGGGGAGATAGCAAGACTACACCTTACTTTTTTCAGTATGGGAAGCAAAGCTCTAAATCCCACATTTATTTCAGTGAAAATTGTTTAGTCTGTAAGTGTCCCATTTGGTGTGCATCCTTTATGAACGTACAGATTTTTCCTCTCCCTCTCCCCATCTCAAACAGCCAGTGTGAGGCTCTTCCATTGCTTTGCCCTCTGAGGCACATTTCAAAGTTTGCTGGTCCCCACAAACACACGTTTTGAGATCTGGTTCTGATTAATTGTGTCATGTTGTTGTCGAATAGTTTGTACCTCATGACTGTGGATGCAGAGTTTTGAGCAAGGGAATGGAAAACATGTCTTGGAGGGCCGGGTCGCCGCAGAGGCCCAGTCAGACGTCCTGGTCTGAAGACGCTGGGCCTCCCGCCTCCTGTTGCACGGGAGGCCTCCATTTTTACACTCGTGTTCTGCTCTTGCAGACCTAATTGTGTGTCCTCTTTCTTTTAAGGATCAGAACTAGTCTGAAGACACTTTTCAAGATTTCACAGAGAGAGAGAGGAGAGTAGTTACACTCCGACTTAGTGGTCTTCTAGAATAAAATTCCTTTGATCTGCTCAATTCCTTCAGAAATGTTGGTTTTTCCCATCTCTTCTTTTCCCCCTCCTTCCTCTTTTCTTTTCTTCCCTTTGTGCGTAAAAGCCCTTTATTGACATTTAAAGGGATTCCCAGGGTTTTGCTATCAGTTTTAGTTTGTATGTGCATATGAAAGATAACTTTGTCTTGTCACCAGCAGGGTCTAATTGGACAAACGCAAGTGAATACATTTAGGCGAATAAGCTTGATGTGGTGGTGAAATTTCACTGGCTTGAAGATTTGTCTTAGCGTTGGTATTGTTCAGATTCACCATCCACCCCCAGGTCTTGCTGTCACTTTGGATGTGGACACGTAACCTGCGTTTGTTATCATGATGGTCATGCCCTTGAAATAATCTCTACAGTTTAGGATTTTGTCTCTTGACCAAAACACTAACTATGCACACAAATTGGATTGACCTTTTTTCTTTTTATTGGCTAAATTGAGCAATCAACATATTAACTAATGTAATTAGTAACCGTTTTTGTTCAAAAAGTTTAATTAGGCTTAATAAGTACATAATCTACATGACAAATGATTGGCTAACAATATTTTTCTGGGTTTTACTGAAGTTATTTTAAGTCCCAGCAGTTAAAGTATCTTTAAATCTTGCCAATTATTCAGTCATCTCATAAAAGCAAAGCCAATTGAACTATGTTAAAGTTATTTATAGTTTCCTTTTTGAATAGATGTTCTGATACCTTGTAGATGTAGCTGGGAACATCAGATTGAAGTTCCCATAAAGTCTTAATTGAAGTCTTAGTGATTTTTCCATCATTCTGTAAAAGAGAAAGACAGCAAGGACAATTTAGGGGTGATTTACAATGAAAGGTCGAGCATTTTATGAAAAGGCCCTGTAGTGGAGATATGCGAATGAATTAGTATTTGACAGGTGTTCTGAGATACTAAAGGGCACGGTGCTAGGAAAAAGCATTAATAAATCCTTCAAAAGTAACTTTGGACTATCAGAGGCTCAGATTTTCCTCCCAACATAATCTCTTCTTGTGAATTTCACACTGTTGACATACAAAGCCAAGCTACCCAGAGTATTTACAACTACGTCAAAGTCAAGAAGTATATATTTTTAAATTCCCGTAATCAGTCTTAATAACAGTGGGCCTATTACTGTGCTATTCGGTCTTTGCTTTTATAAAATAATGATACATGATTTATAATAAATTGAAATGGTAACCTTCCCTAGGTTAACCCTGCGCCCTCCCACCCCCCACAACGAAAACCCCCTAACATTTACCAATTTACCAATATTATCATTTGACTGAACAGTCCTTCAACCTAGGGCCATGGTCCTTATAGATGACTAAGAAATGCACATGTCTGTATGTTTTCTTTGGTCCAGTTTTCTTTTTGGTGTTGTTTCAAAGTCAAGCTCCCTATGGAATAAAATGTGAACTTTCGTAAAGCCCAGTTATATTTTAAATGCAATTTTGGATTTCTTCCGGAGGGGGGGAAGAAACAACCCTCAAAACAATATGGAAGACAAGACTATGTATAACGTTACAGCCTTGACAGCTCTCAGTGGAATAACTAAATACTGTCTTCCGCCCATATGTATCGGCAGTGTTCACATGCTTTTATACACATGTGCATTCACATTCATTGTGTAAAGAAGTACCCATGCATGGTGGGGGTGTGTGTACATTCAAGGCAAAATGCATGAACAGTTTTAAACCACCTGGGTTGCTAGGCCCCTTTCCCCCCTCCCTGCCCTTCCCCTTTTTTCAAAAGAGCATCTGAAGACCATATTGTGTTTCATAAATTATTGACATCAGTTTTAATCATTGTGCCCCTGACGTCGGAGCTGTGTTAGCATTTAGTGCCTGACGAAGCATGCTGTTTAATCTTACTGTGGAGTTGTCAGCATGAGCCCGTGCCTGGCTTGTGACAGGTCGAGCTTATGAAAACTTGTTTTGCGACTCACTCTATGGCGTTGCATTGCCCAGCTGTAACCCAAAACCCACGTAAAAGATGTCTCTGCAAGACAAGCACCGTGCTGGGTTGGCCTCTTATAGTCGTAGGTACCCGCAACATAATGCTCGTAATTGTTTAAACATAGCTTTGGGTTGGGGGTCGGGGGCATGTCCTCATGCTGTCAATAGCTCTGGTGCTTCCGTCCACCCTCATTCATCCCTGGCAAGAGAGGGAGGTTATATTGGAGGTGTTGCTGTGAGAAATCCGATGCCCCACTAAAGATTCTTGCAAAAATCAGAAGGCTAAAATTATTTGCTGCTTAGTCCAGAGCCTGGCACATAGCTATAGATGAGTGAATGTCTTCAATAGTTATAGTAATTATTATGATTATTGTCATTATGATTAACCTTGGAGGACTTACTCTTTGCCAAGCACTCACATTAATTTAGACATTTAATCACTGTGACTCTACTAATTATAGGGACTGTGATTGTATTTCTTTTAGAGATGAGGAAACCATGGCCTAGAGACCTTAGAGGGTTTACCCAGAGTCACATAGCTACTGGATGGTGGAGCTGGGACTCCAGCCTGACGTTTGTGCTTTGTTTTGTTGCATCCACTGTGCTGCTTTGCCATAGAATGAATGGATGGGTGGATGGAAGAATGGATGAATGAATGAATGGCAGCGATACATCCATGTGTAGGAGAAGAGCTGGCACACCGATTACTTCTTGCTAGAACTGGGCATGGTTCCCTAGTTGTGTTGCATTATATATTTTACATCACATTATATTTATTACATTTTGTTATATTATATTCATACCTACTTAACATGAAGTTGTATATAAGAAGTTTTCTTTTAGCCATCAGGCCTGCTGGGAGCTGGGAGCTGGGAGCTGGGACTATGAAATAAGAGGGTTTAGATACTTTCCTGGGGGTTCTTGACATCCACAGGTGTTGCTGATGGCCTAGTCTTTCTTGATTTCAGGGCCTGTGATCTCCCTCAAAGGTGGTGAAGCTGGCCAGCCTGGCCAACATGGTGAAACCCGGTCTCTACTAAAAATACAAAAAATTAGCTGGGCGTAGTGGCGGGTGCCTGTAATCCTAGCAACTAGGGAGGCTGAGGCAGGAGAATCGCTTGAACCTAGGAGGCGGAGGTTGCAGTGAGCTGAGATCGCGCCACTGCACTCCAGCCCTGGTGAGACTCTGTCTGCAAAAAAAAAAAAAAAAGGCCTTCTCTTTTCACCCTAGTGTTCACCATCCCTTTGCTTCACCAGAATGTATTGAAAAAATCCAGGAAGTGGCTAAAAGTATTGTTGCCAAAGAGAGGAGGTGGATGGATGGGGGATGGTGTGTCCCGGCCACTGGTGTGGTGCTGCTAGGTACAGTTGACATGAGTCAGTGGCACAGGGCTGTCGTGAGTGAGGTTCTCTGCTGGGGTCCTCATTAGCACCTGGTGACCGGGGACCTCCAGGCAAGGCGGCCGCTCCCT